GAAATTCTGTAAAGTTCTGTAAAGCTACGAAATGGTATGGACACGATTTTCATGCTATTTCTCCTATGCTGGACGACATCAGGGCACGTCCTGCTTTTAGAGAAAGTGTTGCAAAACACACTCCCCCCTCGCTCAAAATAATTCTTCTAGCAGGACCCATCTCCATCCCAACAATCGATTTTCTCAAACTTTCTACACTTTCCTGGAGGAATTCTCTGATTCTTTTTTCATTACAAAAATCTGTCGAGTGAGGGCGGGGAAGGGGTGGGATATAACGTCGAAGAAAAACCAAGAAAGTCAGCCACCGAGCAACCCAAAACGATTCTTCCAAACGTAAATACGACCCACCCCTCCCCTACCGACCGAATACGACCCCTCCCCCCTCTCTGGGATCCTCAACATATGACGTGCCCTGAATTTATTGTCAGATGGTATGGAGAAACTAGTGGTAAGGGGTTTGCCTGATTCCCAATGGAAGGAGGTCCAGAGTGGGTGAAGCAAAATGAAGCAGTCCTTGTGTGAAGCGTCATCCTGTTGGGGACTGGGTGGCTATATTTTCAAAGGTTTACAATAATAAGAGAAGTTCGTATAATTTCGTTCATAGCGTGAAATATTTGTGTGTTCTGCTTGCCCAGTATTATGATTTATGTACAGTATCCAGAATGAAACTGGTACCATTTCGTAGCTTTACAGGAGCTAGTAGGAATTTAGCGTGGCTTATTTACAAGAGTTTACAAAATGCCTTCTTCCATCATTGTAGTGAACTAACTTCTAACTGGATCCGTCCTGCTGCGGGGGAAAGTTTTGTGAAGTACGAACTCCCTCCCCTGAGGTGCTACATACCCTGGCACCTTTATTTAATGGTATCTTCTCAGTTACCGCGGAGTTTAAATTTTTGTTTTACTTTTTGTTAACATCTTTATCGAATATATCTGTGAAAGAATTTTAAGGCATCTTCTCAAAGTGGGTGTTCCGCGTACTCCTTCGAAGAGAGAGCGTTTCCATCGTTATCAGAACCGAAGCCGGAGCCAGAGAAACCGGTAGAAAAGCCATCTTTCAGGTATCTCACTCAATTACTTTTTTTACTTCGATTGCATTTTAGGGACATGCTTTTGTCACATCTAGTTTAGTTTCTAAAGAGCATTATTGGCTAAGAAGACTATCAGGGTAACGAGAGGCGACGGGAATGAGCTCAGAGGATTTTGTCCTCCGAGCTGTTAGTATTCTGCAGACACTGCAGATTTCAATAGTTTACCAGCCCAAATTTCGTTAGATTAGATGTTGCTTGGCGAAGGGATGCATGCGGATTGAGGTTGTGAAATGAAACTTCCGTTAAGTACTCCTTTTTGAATGCGCCATGCATGTCACCCGATGAAAAGTGCAGTGTTGCTGTCCTCCCAGAAGGGCCCCGTAGAGATGGCATGTTTGGTTTTCCCAAACGGAACCGGCCGGGGCTTTGATTTCCGACAGGCGCTATGGCCAATGTACCGCGTCCACCCACTGAAAGGCAGTTGCGGGCGATAATCCCTGAGACGCAGGGGGATTAATGTGGCCCTGCGGGACAGAGATCCGCGACTGCGTGGCTTTGCGTAGCGCTCTCTCAGGAAACATACCCTTATAAGCCTATCATGTTTAGCAACATACCGACCCGAACGCCCTACCACGCCCGCCCGCCCACAAATGGACGACTTTACCTGATGATCGTTATGCTTCATCTGCCTAGTGAAAGATGAAGCGAAGCGACACTGCCTTTGAGAAATTTATTTTTTTTACAGTTTTTATCACTTTACATTTTTATTTTTTGTGGTTATTGAGAATGTTGAGAGAAAATGAGGTTGCCACGGAAGGAGTTCAATATGTTTTCTTGGATTATCGCACCTAATGCAGTTTCTTCTTATGCATTTTATTCCAAAAAATGCTAAGGTGGAAATAGTCAAGATAGGGCGCAGAGTGGCAGCAGTGGCCGAAGTGTTGCTTTGCACTACTCGTCCCCTTTTGAACCCAGGTCCAAGTGCGAGAATGACGTTTTAATCTCTGCTAATACTTCCAAAGCTGTTGAGTAAATTGGCTACCCTCTTTTTTGAAGGTGCTTTGTGCAATTCGCTTATTGGCTTAATGCTGACTGCATTCCTTGCAGATTAAATAGGATTCCATCGCGGCCGGTTTGCGCTGATAGAGTATGCCCAAGGTTGGAAATGTATTTGGTGAGCATGCTTTCATTTAGCGGGCTACTATGAGGAGAAGGCAAAAAGGATACTTCGCTCATGGCGCTCATCATCAAAGTTTACATCGCGCTCCGCTTGGTTATAAGGGACCTGCGAACCCTAGATGGAATCTACCCGAAATGTTTCTGCTCAGGCAAGATCAAGTCCTCTCATCATTGTCTAGGGTGTTTCGGGATGGGGAGCTCCCCGTTATCGCCGTCGAGATCTAGATGGACTACATGTTTACATGAGCGTGAGGTATTTACATGATTTCCACGCAAAACTCCATCGCGAAACCCGTTTAATAGGCGGAGGTGGCGTAATGGCAAGTGGCAAAATCACCACGCGCACGGTCCGGGGATCAAATCCTAGATCGGGTCTCGCCTGTTCTAACTAATCCCCGGGACAGTAAATTGCTACCAGACTCGTCTGGGAGGATAGTAGCACTGACTTAAACATCGGCTATCCTCGCAAGTCATTGTATGGGAGGGATATGTGGCAAGAGAATCGTAATTCGCCGCGCCAGTGGGCGCCGCGAGCGACGTCGCGACGATTTCAGGTGCTATTGGCCGAAAATAGACAATATGACCAAAAATAGACATGAAGTATCTTCCATTTCCTTGTCTACATGAAATTCGGTGCTCCAATCGAAAGTGATGCAAAGTAAGGAAATGTCGCGCTTATTGCCGCCAATGGAAGCGACAATTTACGACTTCTCTTGCCCGTCTCCCGTATAGGCCATATGGCATTCAATGCCACTACGATTCAGAATAGAAAAGTTGCGTGCCGCATACCCAAAGGGATTGATCAACGGTGAAGACTTTATCCTTTTATCCGATTGAATGAAGTCAGCCTTTCATTTTTTTACTGTTAGCAAAGGTTAAATGCAAATACGGTGGATTCTGAGATTTCCCCACCCATCATTATTTCGACATTTTACAGTTGTGTGGCTGCTGGGAAAGCGATATGCCAAGCCGGAGCCAAGAAAGAGTTATGCGGAGAAGTTGAAAGAGAAAACAGCGAAAGCCTAGTTGGTTATTTATTTTTTGCTTTTTATGTTGTTCTGTCTGATTACTATTTACGCATATACATTAGTAGAGATTTGGAGGGTTTGTGTGGGGAAAACGGTCGCATATTTGTATTCGGGACGGTTATCTACAGGCTATGTTGTGTGCTTATTCGTTGGTGTTTCTTCTTCTCCTGTTCTGTGTGAATTTCTATATTTTCAAGGTCGCTTTGTCAGTTAGATTTTGTTGTCGGTTGTCTTCTTGCCCTTTCGTACGTGTCTAATCGGTCGAGTGTACACATCCACGACAGTATTCATAATCACTATCATCATTATCATTACCATTACCTTCTTGACTTGCCAAAAATATTTCAGTTAAAATCTGCGAACGTGCATGGTGTCCCTGCGTGCAGCATATTGCTTTTCATTAGCCAAATTACTACTTGTCGATTACTTTTATTTTCGTCATTTATTTACATACACATATAGGGGTATATGACAAGAGAACCGAAATTTGCCGCGCTGGTAGCGAGCGAGCGATACGGCGTCCGCAGAGACGAATGCGCCAAGAAGAGAAACTCTGTCTGCATTCACTTTCGAGAATAATAAAAGGAAGAAAGGCTGCTTTTTGAATGCGCCATAGTACGTCAGCACATGCAGAAAGACGCGTAGCCAAAAACACGTTGAAATACTGTGCGGAATATGGAAAAAATTAAGAAAAGTTTAGCAAAGATTCGCGCAAAAATCGCTGCTCCTAATATGGAAAGAAAAGGCACGCGCACCTTTGAATTTCCCGCGCTCCCGCGCTGACGCGCCCAAATGGGATTTTCCCGCGCTCATCGCGGACGGTGCGGGGTACGTGACAGGACTCACCGCCGCGCTCGAAACTAGGTCACCGCGCGCGGCGGTGAGTCCTGACCTGGCATTTTGCCAACTTCCGATCGATATGACCCTATCGCAGTTTGCTTGGAGCGTTCTTTCTTTTCCTCATCTTCCATCTGCCAAGAACATGTCCAAACATGTAAACATGTTCAAACATGTAGTCGCCGCGCGCGGTGAATTACTTTCCACCGCGGCGACCTACTTTCAGCGTGGCGGTACTTCTGGCCGTTCCGCGGAGGTGCGCCGCCCGTGACGGCGCGGCAAAACACGATTCTTTTGTCCGTATCCCCACATATATATTGATATATCATTGTTGAGCAGAGTGCATGAGTGTGGTATGCTGGAAATGGGAGAATATTCGGTTGTTTTATTTTGTAATTGTTAGTTATTAGGTGGTTCATTGTGTGAGTGTGAGTGTACTTCTATTCTTGGTTGAATTGAAGTGACATAATCATCGTTATACACATTCTTCCGGTTAGTGATCATATCACTCTAGTCATCCATTCTGTGCTTTATTCATCTGTGAATGTCAGTATGCGCCAAAAGCCAATCGTAACAGTTTCAGAGCGTTGATGTTTTCCTCTTCTTGAAAATAGTTCTATACTTTGTTTTCATTTACCGTACAAATCAAGGGCAGAAGTGGTTGAGGGGGCCAGGCGGCGGCGCGACTATGCCATGTCATGTCTCGCTTTTCGTGTCTGCGCGTATATGATGGCTACTCACCGTGCGCGATGAGAAATCAGTCGGGGCACGTTTTGCTGTTGGGGAAAAATTTCGCAAAGTACGACCCTTCCCCTCCCTCAAAACTTCCCTCCTCTCAATCCTGTAGCTTTTGCCGAATTTTCCTGAAAAAAATCCCTAATTTTCCCTAAGAAGGGCCGCGGGCGGGGGGGGGGTATACCGCACGTGAACCACGAAAAACGGGGAAAATCAACAACCGGAAACTTTTGGCTGGGAATCACCAACGTATGTCGTGCCCTAAAACCGGCAGTAGGCTATACTCTTGGTAATCCGTCGCAATCAGGGCACATATCTGCTCTGGGAGTCATGATGGGGGGAG